ACGGGTGGATGCAGGGGGAGCTGACCAGGGGCAGTCATTGACAATGGGGACACCAGAGCCACCAGGCTTGGTGCTGTCATCCTGCTGACCAACCTTCCCAGCGCCAGTGGAGAGCTGGAGAACTCAAAAAGACCTCCCAGGCAGGTCTAATTACCTCCTTCAATAACGAGGTCATGCCCTAAATGAACAGCAGCCACGCCTTCCCCTGGTGTTGGGGAGTTTGATCAACATGGCAAGGGGAGAGCCCAACAAAGCCTACGCTGATCAAGGGCTTCAAGGATCCTGAGCCCTGGGGACCACCCATGACCAGAGACTGGGGACCCTCACCCAAAAGAAAGGCACAAAACCACAAGCTGGGCACTGCCAACAACCTGTCCCACGTGGTGGAGAGGCCCCCCACAACTCATGACACACAGGATAGGGACATCTCATGTGGCAGTGGGGAAAGGCAGCAGCCATCACACCCCGCTCAAGGCTCCCACCCACAAAGCAGCCCCAGCACTGCATGCTGGTGAGATGTTGTTGAGCATGGATGCTGCTGGATGGCAGACCCCTTGTTGCACTCTCCTCCTCGTTCCCCTCCCCCTCCCCTTTTTTCCCCTACGTGCCAAAAATCAGGATTTGCTCTAGTGAGCTGCCATCAGCCTGGACATAATAATGGCTATTAAATCAAGTCGAATGCAAACCAAATTACTAAGCCCATGATTAATGATTAAGAGACAAGAATGTCCAAGGCCTGCTGAGTGCTCAGCAGCAGTGGGCTGCTTCCCCTGCCTGGGAGCAGTGAGGAAGGATCACACAGGGTCCGACCAACACAGAGCTCAAGGTCCCCAAAAAGGGACCCACCACCAGCTCGGTGGCCCCTAACAAAGCTGCCCCTGCCCTCCCCTCATGCACAGGAGTCCCCCAGGTCAGTCACATGCCAGAAACAGGGTGATGCAGAGGGAAACCACACTGTTGTGTGCCCTAGTTGGGAGTTGGGAGCTGCATCTTCTCCTGGAAACTGGTCCACTCCCAGGGCAAGCCCAACTGCTTCCTCTTCTTGTGTGGGTACTGAGCAGTGTAAAGATAGGATGTGTACTGGAGCTCTGGCATAACCATTTTCTGGCAAGTTCTCAGAGTCCTGTTGTCCAGGTCTTGTCTGAGGTTGTACCCAAGGATATTTGCAGTCCCTGACTGGAAAGGCAGGAGAGCTTTGTTCTCAATATGATCCTTCCCCACTGCCTCCTGGTCTGAGAGACAGGTCTCCATGAGCTCCCTCTGCCTCCTTCGCAGGTGATTCACCTCCTTCTCCAGCTCCTGGAGTCCTATGGTCTCCTCAATTCTCCTCCAGAAGCTCTGGTTGAAGTGTAGGTAGAGCTTCCAGTCCAGTGAGCACCAGGCTTTTATCCGCTCCACGCTTTCTGGAGTCAAGGTCTGGACAGTGTCCTGGCTTCTGGAATTGAGCTTAAAATAAACCACATCATCCAGATCCCAACACAAGGCATGCTTCAAGAGGATCATGGACTCATCGAAGTAATCTGCTATTAAGATCAGGTGGAAGTTCTGTTCAATCTCCTTCAAGACTGTCTGGATGTACATTTTGTTGTCCTCTGCGTTGTTGTCGTAGCCAAAATCAAACCACATGATGTTCCTGGCGTAGATGTTTTGCTTCTGATCTGCTGGATGGTAATACTTCACAGGGGACACCAGGTACTCGTTCACATCCTTGGATATCCTGAAAGCAGGGACGTTGTCCTTGTAGTAGACATAGGAAGACTCCAGCAGAGGAATGGGGTTCCTCAAGATGGAGAAGTAGAAGGTGTCCACTGGCATCACCTTTTGCACCTATTTGGGGGGGGGAGGAAGGAGAGGGGCTGTCAGTTTGGAGGCACTGCTCCTTCCACCAGGAATCCCCGCCGGCGTCGTGGCTCCTCCTTACCTCCGAGGGGTTAAACCTCAGGTGGTTGCACATGATGTTATAGTTTTGTCCCGTGGCTTGAAATCCCTCCACAAAGGCAGCCAGAAAGGTCTTTGGGTAGCCCAGGTGGACACGCTGGTCGGCTGGGAGGGCGACGGTGAGGTTGTACCTCTCTGCCACCCGGAACAGGACGTTCAGCACGGTGCTGCTGGCTGTCTTGTGGGTCTTGAGGAACATCACGTTCCTCTTGGCATGGCAAGGCACCGAAGGCATCACCAGCTCCTCGTGGCTCCTGGAGATTCTGCAGGAAGGCGACAGATGGGGAAAACAGCTCCCCCCCAGTGCCATACCCCATCCCTGAGACCCGGCCAAGCCAAATCTGACCAGGTTCTCCTTCTGACAACACTTCAGCTGGTGCAAGGCACCTACCAAAACAAGCCCCATCCCTCAGGTACAGATGTCAAAGCTTTATTCACCCCCAGGTCCTCACCCAAAGGCTTCAGCTCAATCCCCTTTTTTCCATAAAAAACCTGATTTTGCCCCACAGAGCTGCACGTTGGCTAATTTGATCTCTTGCCTGCCCTAACGTGGCAAACGTTAGGATCTAACTTTGGGCCTCTGCCCTTCCAGTATTGGCCTCAACCTCCTGAGAGTTAAATGAAATGTCCCAGGCCAGGTCCTTGCAGCAGAGGAAGTCATGCCACCTTGCTTCTGCTTTACTTACACATAATCTGTGTTCTTCCTACGGAAGAATCCTGACAGGAAGACGAGTCCCAGACAAAGGCTGCAGATGATGACACATTTGATATGCCTGGAAAGAAAGAACAGCTTCAGTGGACTTTTATCTGCTCGTCCTTCCAACCACCAAACTCTGTGTGTTGCCTCAGGGAGTTTTCATCACCAGGAGGCACAGTTTTACATCTCCATGGTGCCAGCCACCTTTGGCTCCCCCAGCTCTGCCAGCAGCTCTGGCATCAGGGGCAGGACAGTGGGAAACTGCACTTCCACTCTCCTAACTTGGGCCTTTGGCAAGACACAGCCTGCTTCAGGCAGAGCCCAAGCTCTTCCAACAGCCTCCCACTCTGCTCTGCTGCCTTTTATTTTGCTTTTCTTTCAGTTTTCTGGGGCTTTAAAGCTTATTCACTATTCAAGTGTCCAGTTTATTCACTAGAAAATGAGCCCTTTGTAGAGGATTTCCTTGGTAGGAAACCTGAGTGCCTCCTCTTGTCACATTGCTCCAGAAGATAGGGATCTCAAAGAAACACTAAACTGGTTTTTTTTTCAATATAACTGAGATTTTTCAATACAGAAAACCACTTAAAAACCCAACAGCACATATAATGGCTTAATTACACCTTGCTTTCAAAAAAAGAGGACTGCTTCCCTGCTGTGACAGATCCTCCTCCCAGCCCAGCTCTGGGAGCTCAGAGGCAGCTCATTGGACTGAGAACCTCATCTACTCATGCTCTGCCTGGAAATGAGGAGAGATTAGTCTTTTCCAGCACTAATTGGGCAACCAGCATGTGCCATCACCTGTGCATTCTAGCTGGGACATGTACAGGATCTTCTGAAGGTTTGAGTCCCACCAAAAAGGAACTTTCCATCACTGAGTTTGATGCGATTTCTCTGATCCCAGAAGTTTATTTAACTTGGTGTGAATTCCATGTTTTCAGCTATAATTTCCAAAATGCAGCAGATCTGGCTTGGGCTTTATGTTGTTTTAGGAAGATACAGACCTGGGATGGTCATACTTGTGGTTCCCACTCACCTAAGTGAGTAATGGAGGCTCCAAGCCTGCCAGGTTTTAGGGCCAATGGGGGCACGTGGCTTGCTGTGGGCTGGACCTGGTGGTCCTTTCTACTGTCCTTCTGGCCAAGGGGTCCTCACACGTGGTCCTGGCACACAGGATGGTGCCTTGCATAGCCTGCAGCTTGTACTATGTGAAAGACACCGAATCTCTCCTTCCAGCTGGCCTTATGACAGTGCAACCACCAGCTTTGCCTGGCATGGCCTACACCCTGCCTCTGACTGGCCACAGTTTGAAAAGCCAGGCTGTGAGAGTCTGGATCTGGCCGTGGAACACTGGAGAGAGGATGGGAGCAAAGTCCAACAGAGCCTGAAGAGCTGCACATACAAACACAGCCACTGTAGCCAGCTGCGACCCGAGAGCCACGAGCCAAAGGCAAACACAGTGGAAGCCTGGAGACGGGTGGTGATGGCACAACACTGAGATGGCACTACACAGAAGCATCTCACTCTGCTCGCCATGCAAACCTGCCTAAAACCACTTTTCTCCTGAAGCTTTGCCTTGCACAGGAGTGCTTTCCTTGTCCAACAGCACCCCAGCTGAACTGGGATATCTCCAGGGAGAAGAACCCCTCCCAAAGCCAGGGAAGACACTCATTCACAGCTAGTACCAACCTCTGATAGGAATTTGCAGCACAGCTTCTGCATGAAGAGTTTCAAGACACAGCTACAGGCAGTCTTCCATCAGTATTTCTTAATTTTTTTGGTCCCAGGCCTGTTAGGGAGATGGGGAGTGAGACAATCCCCTTTCCTTTGATCCTTCTACGTAGGGAAGTAGAGAGGAGACAGGAGAAGAAACACAGAGGGCCCCACAGGCAGCAAGCAGGCTCACATCCCTCAGGCACAGTCCCTGCCTGTTTTAGAATCATAGAATCCTTTAGGTTGGAAGGGACCTCCAAGATCATCAAGTCCAACCATTGAGCCATTAGGGCTCTAAAGTCCTCTGCTAAAACAGATCAGATTCTTGGTCTTTCATTTAAATTGAAGCTGACCTTGGTATGGTGGTTTTCCAAAACATGCCACCCTGCCTGCCTGGAAGTCCTTCCTAAGCCTCTCTGGTGATGTCCTTCTCCCACACCTTTTCTGTAGAGTTTAATGCTGGTCCATGCATTTGTTTGGGTGGTGTCCCCAAAACAGCAACACAGATGGGTATTTTATGGGGCAGACAAATCAGCACACACCTAAAACAATCCTGAAGATACATCAAGATCACAAAACACTCCAGAAGGATTACCAGTCCCTTCCACTGCAAAATGACAGGCTCTGTAGACCTCTAGGTCTGATCACACCAAGGCAGCCCACGATATTTTAATAGTTTTTTTACTCTAGTGAAGAGATTACATAGTGCTGTCCTGCCTCCAAATCTTCACACACATGGAGCACACCATCTCCAGTGTAACTGGATGCTCCCAGCAGACCCATTTTATCTGGATGTGCTTTGAAAGCCTCAAACAACAGCTGGTTCTTGGACATGAAGACACATGGAAGAATAACAGTCCAGATTATCTAGGCCTGTAAAAACTCAAAGTTTTGGTGATGCAGCACAAGGGATTGGTACTCAGTGCCAAACACACCCTGTGGACAAGTTAGAGGCACAAACATGCCACCACTGAGTCCCAAGGGGCCATGCAGAGCTCACCCTGCTCCTTGTGGCACTATCCTGAAGACAACAGCAAGGGGTGGCTGCCCAGCTTGTCAAAAGCACAGCAGCTTCCTGGAATGGCCAGTTTTAAGGAGTGACTGATTTCCTTGACACGTGGGCCACAGAGGTGCCAACCCCCACGTAGAAATGGTGGGCTCCTTGTCCCAGGGGTGCCAAACAAAGCTACTTTGTGGGATGGTGCTTGTTCCCCTGCCTTGGGATGGATGGATGGAAAGGTATCTGCCTGGCAGCTTTAGGGGCGAGCATGGAGTGGGGACAGGAGGGGACTGCCACCACCTTCCCCCCACTGCACCTCAGCCCAGCAAAGGCAAGGGACAGAAGTCAGGGGAAGGGCCAAGAGCAGGGATTGAAGTGATCCCCAGGGAGGGGTGCAGGCAAACAGATCTTATGGAGATGAGAGGTGGGGGTTGCCCGTGTGCAGGGTACTGGTTGGTGTGTCTGTGCAGCTGGGTCCTGTGCCTGATCACTGCAGAGGGTCCTGTCCCCATCACCCCCCTGGGCTTGGCCACCCACAACTGTACTCACAGGTGCCCTCCCTGGCTTCAGCATGTCCTGCAAATCAGCACGTGGGGTTCCACCACCCATTCTGCACCCTCTGCCCTGGCACAGCTCTGTGAGAGCCAGCACCACTCTTTCTGTGCCCTTAGTGTCACACACACACCCCCTTTGTCACAAGACTGCCACTCTCTGAGCAAGCCACTTCTAAATCTGTATGTGTTGGGTCGACAGCATACTCAACAGTGGCTAAAATATCCCCTAGCCTTTAATCCCTTCAAGACCAGCCCCACTCATCTGAGAGCTGTTTTACTGGCTGAAGGTGAACACAGCGAGGATCTGGTGTCACAGAAGACAGAGCTGACCTTTTCTACCAGCAGTTCCAGCCCCAAGCAGAGGGATTTTGTAACCACTCAGGGTATCACTGGGAGCAGGGAAGGCACAGCACCGTGGCTGCAGTGATTTCTCCCTCTGCACACAGCAGCAAGGAAGCATTTCACCTGGGCTGCATGAAGCCTGACACAACCAAGAGCCCCCAGGTCAGTCAGAGCCACTATCTGCTTTTCTTGCCCTGTTAACAGTATTTTGCAAAGCAAAGTTCAAGAGTGAAAGCCATAATTCAAATGTCACACAGAAGTTACCTAAGCACGTAAGACATGCAACCAGCCTGGAGACCCTTTGAGGAAGCACCTAGGAGTTGATTGCTAAGACACAGAATTCTTCTGAGAAGCCAAAAAAAAACCTGCAGAGGTTTCAGCAGGGCTGGCACCAGAGGTTCAACCTGTCTTTCCAACCTGCACTGTGCAAACTCCCAGATGGGAAAAAAAATACAGAAAACTACCTCTTGGGGTGCACTGGGAGCTGCTGCTACAGATGCTTTGAGGTTCAAGACAACCTCCTGTTCATTTGGTTTAAGCTGAAAATAACAGAACCCTGTCTCAACCTGACAAGGGTCTTTCAAATTAAAAGACCTGGAATACAGGAAAGAAACGTTCACGGTGAAATTCACCCTGGAGCAAACTGCAGCCAACTCTACAGGTTAACAGCTTAAGAGTGATTCCCTGAACCAAATCTTTCTACAAGGCTGCATTTTAGTTCTGTGCCCGGAGAGTTCACCTCCCTCTCCCCTTACCTTGAAGTGCACCCAGGTCTTTTCATGCTGCCTCTCTGCTGCAAGCTGGAAAATATCTCCTCTGCAAATCGCCTCCTTCCGTCTGGGCGTCTCTATTTCTAGCATCCCATGGCTGCTATAACTGGCTGGGATAGGTGAGGACAAAGGGAGGGGCTAGGTGTTCCCGGGGAGGGGGGAGGGAGGGATGTGGGAGTTAACAAGCCATGAAAAGCTCTTTCTAAGTAA